GGCTGACCCGCCTTTGGCGCCGTTGGCCCTGAGTAAAAATTTCAGTTGTTCTGTTTTTCTGCGCCGTCGGTGCTGCCTTTGGCGCGGTCGGCGTTGAGTACTTCTTCAAAAACTTTATTTTGATTCCATTTATTTTGACTCCAAATTTCATCTTTGTTGCTTCCTTTTTGCTTAACGCCTTAAAAATCAACAACCTTCAAGAAAATATCAAAATACATTCCATTAAGGTGCAATATCACCAAAAATAAATATAAAATATAGGTCTAAAAATGTATATATTTTCGGTGTATCACTTGGTGAGGTGACTACTTTTTAATTGCTGTCTGATTTTTTTTTTTAAAAAATCTAATAATCATCAAAATTTCTTGAACATTTAATTTTTATTTAAGAGTTTCGCAACTGCTATTTAATAATGTACCCAAATATATTTTTCCCTTATTATTAAAGTGGAGCTGCATGTAACAAACCCTTGGATTAGCTTGAGATCCGGTCAGCCAATTGGTCCCCGCACCTTGAGTGAGCCCCTCGCCTGTTGCTTTACCCTCACTGTTGCCACATTCCTCTCTCTCTCTCTCTCTCTCTCTCTCTTCTGGCTGGCTTGCTATCTGTCTCGCTTCTATCTATCTCTCTGTCTGTCTACTCCTGGATTTCCTCCGTCGTTACCACAAGTCTTCTTCACTTCCATCTCTTTGCCACTCTTGCTTCACATCTGAAACAAAGAGCAAAAGAATCCGCCAACTAGCGCACCAAACCATCCCCTTCTATGCGGAGAAACTATCCCGCAACGAAAAAGGTTTTTGGTTGTTCTCCATCATTCGTTATTCTTTCCCTGAACAAGCCTCTTCCATTCTCTTTTGTTCAGTTCGCTTTATTTACTCCTGTAAGTTTTTTCAGCCTTAGTTGACGTGTTGCTGCTCGGAAAGCCTCTTTCCAAAGCTTGGGTTTCTATGTTGGCCTGTGTTTGAGGAATCACCCAATACAACTCCATCTGGGGAGAATATTGGTGCATTACTTCCATAGGGAGAGCTACTTTAAAGTTTCAAAAGAGGTAAATTAGTTATCAGAATTACATATTTGCTTGCAGGTGCTCTGTTGGAATGCCGGCATTTCTTGGTTTCATTTTTCAATATCCTATTTAGTTAATAATTGGAATTCTTCGTTACCTCACTGCAGGCAATCTCAACTCTCAAATACAGTTCTTAAATCTTTTGAATCTCTAGCAAAATATGTTATTTGGTATCGATTTTCAAGCTCAATTACATCGAACTCAGTTTTTCGTACAATGCATTACCATTGTGTGTGTGATCTGCACTAACATGCCGAGTAACCCCTTTTTCTTTGTATAGAATCAAAGAATCAGATCTGTAAACTGAAGAAACTATTTAATATGCCCTTATTTATTTCATTCTTATTACAAAATTGACTTGAGTTTATGATTTTTGGCGACCTAGTCCCAATTAGAATGGAAATTTGTGTTTTTTCTCTTCATTTTTATTCAGTTCTAATTTTCATATTCAAGTTTCTGACTTTCTCCTAATTCATAGTATGCAAACTTTGCTGTTTAGTAAACGAGTTCTTAACGGTAAATCAAACAACTGATGTCACTTTTTCCATGCAGAATTTTAAATGTCATCCAAAGACGCTCTGAATTATCAATTAAACCAAAAAACTTTTCTTGGATTAAAGCTATGGGTGGTTATTGGCATCAGTGTCTTTGGTTTAATAATGTTGGTTCTCATTATCTTCTCAATATGGTTTATCTCACGGAGGAAAACTGGAGTAATCCTCAACAGAATTCCACCTACACAAATCCCTGACATTTCCAAGGAAATAACTGTTGACCGAGTTGCGCGAAACAATTTAGGAAGTTCTTTACATGAGTGTGAAGGGCCCATCACTACCAACGATAATAAAATTAATGAGAAGGATTCTATGGTGACATTAGGAAATCTGGCTGTGAGCAAGTCAAGTGAAGCTGATAACCTTAGCCAATGCAGTTCAGTTTTCCCTGACAAGGCTGCGAGCTCATATTCTGGGGATGAAGGTAGCTCAGGAACAACACAGAGGCCTCATTCTCCAAATGTAGGACTTGTATCAGCTTCTCCTTTAGTGGGACTGCCTGAGTTCTCACATTTAGGCTGGGGGCATTGGTTTACTCTAAGGGATCTTGAATATGCTACCAGTCGCTTTTCTAGAGAGAATGTGATTGGTGAGGGTGGGTATGGTGTTGTTTATAGGGGTCGTTTGATAAATGGAACTGAGATTGCTGTTAAAAGGCTGCTTAACAATATGTAAGTACTCCTTTTTCTGCTCTGCAGATGGACAGCATGTACTATTTTTTTGTTATTTGCTTTATTTTATCTTTAATCTGTTTATTTTGCAGGGGGCAGGCAGAGAAGGAGTTTAGAGTGGAGGTAGAGGCTATTGGCCATGTTCGGCATAAGAATCTGGTTCGACTATTGGGTTATTGTGTTGAAGGAATTCACAGGTGAAGGAATTTAGTAACCAATTTACTTGATTATAGTTCTTTGGGTTATTCTGTATTGTATAAATCATGAAGGATTATGAATTTTTACATGTTGGTAACATGGCGATGGGTGCTCACAAGGATGAGCCTAGAACCAAGTTGAGCTATTACTTTTTAAGTTTTAATACTTACCTAAATTGTTTTGATACAAATCTAAATCGTATTAATACATAGGAAGATTTACAGCATCCAGTCAATTCTTATGTATTTATATAGCTAATATGTAAACTTCAATTTTTACATAGATACCACCTTTTCTATGCATGAAAAGATATATTTCATTTTTAAAAGTTAAAATAGTGGTATTTCTGTGATATGAGCTTTATCTAAATTCCATTCAAGAAGGCTTAATGAAGTTTCATTTTTGCTGCTTCAAATTACCATCCATTAGAGATCACTTACTGTAAAATCCCTAATTTATGAAATGCTATCAAGTTCTAGGCATGTAGATAATATTTAATCAGCTGCGAAGTATTGAGAAGATTGAGTTAGGTAGAACATAATCATAGAGAAATAGGCTACTGTGGTTAGAAGAGAAGCATAAGCGCTTTTTTTTTCACTAACCTAGTGGTCATACTTATATTGGATTGAATTTGTTTTTGTATAAATTGGCTGAAAGAATATCATTCTTATGGTCATGCAGAACTTGTAGCAAAGTAAGACCCAATATTGTTAATCTAGCCTGACTGTGGAGTGAGAAAGGTTCGACCATGATGTTCAAATTTCAATTAATATGGACTGTGGCGTGATGAACATACTTATTTGTAAAATATAGGTCATTTCTACTTTCTGAATCTTTATGGACGATAAAATATCTTTACAACATGCAACTGAGAACTAATATCAACAAATCTATTTAAAAACGGAATGGATAGCTTGTTTTTTTTTATTATTATGTCTAGTGGATTAATTTCTTACTGGCTTGAGATTAAGTGATTCTGAGCTTATATGTGTTTTGAATTTACTATCCCAATCACCATTCTTGAATTGATTGCTTGTTTTTATTCACTAGTAGTGTCAGTGATTTTAACCAACTCTTGGAGGACGTTTATAAAAGAAGATTGATGCTTGGCTTCAAGAATAGCATTTAAAAATCATACCATGCTTGATGCCTACTGATAAGTGAATAAACGTGTTCACTTTGAGGAAAATATTAACCTCCATGGCAACCACCAATGTCCCTAAGAATAACGAACGGTGATATCTAAGTTCTTTTCACGGCGACATCTGATTTTGATGCCACAAACTATTTCTTGTACAGAATTTATGGATTTTCTATTATTGATGCTTCAAAACATTAGGCTTCCAAATTATAGATTAGCTTTATGGATTGTTGACCATTTGTTGATATTAGACATTTAGATTTATGCATAAGAATTGTGAGTCCTAATAGTGCCAATAACAATTGTTGCTTCTCCTTTCCTTAATTTTGTTTCATTATATTTCTTATTTTAGAAGGATTGTGTCTTATAGGATGTTAGTGTATGAGTATGTAAATAATGGCAACTTAGAGCAATGGCTTCATGGTGCCATGCGTCAACATGGAGTTCTCAGTTGGGAATCGCGGATGAAGGTTATCCTTGGCACTGCGAAGGCGTAAGTTCTGATTTATTTCACTTTTGCCCAATTTTAAGTTATTTTTATTGCACAATAAGTCCTTGAAATTAAACAATTAAATATCCTACAGGCTGGCTTATTTACATGAAGGCATTGAACCGAAGGTTGTGCATCGAGATATAAAATCAAGTAATATCTTAATTGATGATGAATTTAATAGCAAAGTTTCTGATTTTGGGTTGGCCAAGCTCTTGGGATCTGGAAAAAGCCATTTGACAACAAGAGTAATGGGGACATTTGGGTAAGTTTGACATTCATATTTGTGTTTTTACATGATAATTATTTCTATAGGTCAACTTTTAACACATCTGATTCTGTATGAGACTCGTGAGTTTATTTCTCTAGAGCAGATTTTAACCTCTGATTTTGTATGAAACTCGTTATATAATTTTTTCTATAATTTCAGATATGTGGCTCCTGAATATGCTAACACTGGACTGCTAAATGAGAAAAGTGATGTTTATAGTTTTGGGGTATTACTCTTGGAAGCTGTAACAGGAAGAGATCCTGTAGATTATGGTAGGCCTGCAAATGAGGTATTGTCTTCTGAACCTGAGATATATTTTAGTGTCCTTTTTCTTTCTTTTAGCTTCAAGCAAAATTTTTAATCTACATCTTAACAATGTGCTTCAGATAAAGGTTAGATTACTTAGAAACTTATCCTAATTTTGAATGTTTAGGTAAATCTTGTAGAGTGGATAAAATTCATGGTTGGAAGCAGGAGATCTGAGGAAGTGGTTGATCCAAGTCTTGAGGTCAAACCTTCATCTAAAGCTCTTAAGCTTGCCCTTCTGGCTTCATTGAAATGTGTGGATCCTGACGCACAGAAGAGACCAAAGATGGGCCAGGTTGTTAGACTGCTTGAAGCAGAAGATTACCCATTCCGTGAGGTAATCCTATCCTTCTCCCAAGTCCTCTATAATTCTCATTTTTATGCATAGACGTGACGAGCACAAGTTTATTTATGCAGGATCGGAAAAATCGCAGAAGCCAAACTGCCAAGGAGTTTTCTATGAGGGATGCATCAAGTTCGATTGATTTTGATAGGAAGCCTGAAGCATTATCTATTATGGGTTAAGAGCATCTTCTCTTTGCTAACAATATTTTAAATTCCTGATTTACAGTGAAGCCCCTATAGTTTTTTCTCTATTTGGATAGGGACAGATTGAGGGCTTTTTCCATCGAGGAATGGTTGTTAGTTTTGCTGCCATCACTCACAGGTAAAGTTTGAACTGGGAACGGGAGATCCCTCTCTGGAGAATTCACCTTTTTTTAATGTACAGTGATGTGAAAACTGCTTTTCATGAGGACTCTTCATTTCATTCCAATGCATTCCAATCTTTTTTGTTTCAGCCGTGAGAAGCATGATGTTCATTAATTATTGCTTAGATTTATTTTTTTATTTTTTATTTTTTATTTTCTCATGGCCTACTGCACTTTCCTACCCATAAATCAAAACAAATTTTGATGTACTGGCTTCTGATTTGGCATAAGGCTATTTGTGTGTAATACATGATCACAAAGTCTTTTTTTGTTTTTTTGCCAAGAGTTTTAATTTTTTTGAAGATTTACATGTATACCACTCAATTCCTATGTATTTACATATCTAACAGCTAAACGTCAATTTTTATACATAAACCACCTTACCTATGCATAAAATGGTGGTATTTCTTATGTTATATGAAAGATCTGGGTGTATACATGTAAAAGATAAAGTTCAGAAGTTGGTATGTATGTAAATGCTTTTTTTTTTAAATTATAGGAGGGTTAACATAACATTAAGTTTCAAAATATGTGGTTCAATTATTTCACCATTTCTCTATTTTTTTTCAGGAGCTGTTCCTTTTTGCTGGCATTGAACAATGGCTTTTATTTCTCTGACATTTTCGTCATTTGTTTTGTTTCTTTATGTCTTATCTTTACCTCCCAGCTTGTAGAGTGTTTTGTTTCCTTTAGATCTTTTCCTGTTCAGGCTGGTTGGGTGTTGGGATTATTACTAGTAGAGAGATCCGAAGAGATGTGATGAGTGTAGGTGATTGTATGTTTAAAACATTTCTGACACCAATAGAAGGGAGTTCAGCTTTTGTTGGGTGCTTTTATTTCCAGTGCGTTATATGTGGGGTGCAAGTGAGTAGTGCTATTTTTAGCTTCAGCTTTATTTATTAATTGGCCTTAGACTTGAGCTGGGCTGATGATGACCGGACTCATTTATTGCAAGGAGTAGTTGTTATCAAATACTAAAAAAGTGAAGAAGTATATGGGAAATGATAAGAAATTATTTTATATAAATAGTTGAAATATAATTTTAGAAAGTTTTGGCAATTTTTTTGTTTGTTTGGGAAAAGTCTGTCTTAATTTGTAGCAATTAGGTTAGAGATTAATAATTTGAGGGGAATATTTTTTATCACAATTTTGTATTCAAATTATTGATATAATATTTTGTTAAGTGTATTATATGATAATATTTTTGAGTGAGTTGACTCGTGAGGGCTTAACTCCAGATTTGGCTTGTTAGCTCATTGAGCTCATTTTACATGATATTTATTGAGGTGAGTTTAAACTGGTACATAGGCAGACTTTTAATAACATTTTTAGCCTGTTAGTATGCTTTTATATTGTTCATTATCAAGCCTTGGTGACTCAATAGTAGAGAAAAGGGATGTTCACGTACTTTTCACACAATTCTTATTTATTTACTCAAGTCTAGCCTATACTTTTATTTTTATACATATAGCACAAAAATTTTTAATATAATATAAAAAATAGAAGCTATTAGCATTTTTTTAAGATTAAATGTACATTTTCATGTATATGCTTAGAAAACTAAATTGACGTGCATGAATCTCAAGGAGATCTTGAGATTCAATGAATGTGATTGCATGAATCTCAAGGAGATTCAACAGATCTTGCTTGAACGGCAATAGAGGGTCGAGCCATCTATCAACATTTTGGTTGGTTAAATCATAGGTCGATCGAATTAATATTAGCTCGAATCAAAGAACACCACACACTTAGAACAACGATAATTTAACCAACTCAAGGGAATTCATAAAGTCAACGTCTACTTAGTGGAACTCTCGCTTGACCATTTTTTGATATTGATTGTCCGAAGGAAGACATCGTATCAAATTATGATAACACACCCTTAGCCTAATTAAATAACACTTCCCAAGGAAAATGAGTCTTCACAACAAACTTTCTCAAAAAAGTCGATATAGGATATGTCAGCCAGTTGACGATTATAATCGACCGAGCGAAAGCCAACAATCAGATCAAGCAGCTATGAATATGAAAGTGTCAGCAACAGTTATAAATATGAAATGACGTCTACAACTTCTATCAGGGTCAAAGTATGCCAAAGTCAGTTAAAAATATGTAATAGTGTAATGACTAATAAATGTATTATAACGTTTCTATTAACTGAGGGACAATTATGTAAATTATTGTATCATTTCTATGATCTATGAATGGCAGGGTCATATCCACGGGAAAGATTACTGAATCTATTCATAGAGAATTAACATTATTTATGACTTACTCTTCTCTCTCTCTCTCTCTCTCTTCCTATTTTTCCTTATTTTCTCTCATCCGACCAATGCTCTATTCCTTGAGTGTGACCCGAAGAATATTTTGAGATTCATAATCTTAAAAGGTGCGATGAACATGGAGTCATGCCTTTAATAAGAAGATGACCGTGTTACGGAGAAGGAACAAATGCTGGAGAAACTTATAATATGGAGTCCATTAAAGAATTCAAACAACAACAATGTTAGGAGCTCCAAGGCCGGATTGCTGGTTAGATTGCAGAACTGTCCCACGTGGTGCTTTAGGTGAGGGCACATCCACTCCCAAAACCTAATCCTTTAGCATCTGAGCCCCAGGGTAACCGGATGGCTCGAGAAGTCAAAAGCATGGAAGAATCTCAGTACCAAGATAGAGTTGGATCCATGCTAAGGAACATGTTGTAAGGGGCGAATAAAAGTTTACCGCCGGCTGGAGAATGCATTCTCCTAGTAGATTATTAATGCAGAGCTCCCTGAGAAGTTCATGGTTCTAACTTTGGAACCATGCAAGGACCAGAGCAATCCGACCGTTCATATTGCGTCCATTGAGTCGGTTATATGCCTTCTCAAAGTTCCTGACACTAAAATGCCTGTTATTCTACAACACGCTCAAGGATTCATCCTTCAGGTGGTTTAATGCAGTTTCCGTCGTGATTATTACTTCCTTCAAAGACTTCAAAATTTATTTACGGCGCAGTTCGGTAGTGCCCAAAAGTCCTGCAAAGATTTAGAATCCTTGTGCCACTTAAAGTAGGGGCATAACAAGAGTCTATGGGCATATGTTACACTATTCTAGGCAGAGATGATTATGGTACGAAATCTATAGTCGGCGATTGCAAAGGTTGCATTGGCATAAGTGCTGAAGAGCCCTCAGTTTAAATATTTCCTGGATTTGTAAGAACCCAAAGTTTTGGACAAACTTCTGGAGATGGACAACGACCACATTGCAACAGAGGACTACATGAACCCGTCTGTCTCAAAAAGTAAAATGTCTGACTGGCTGTTGGACAAGAAAGGCTCATGGGACGACAAATAGAGGGATAATGATGTTCATCACCCTAAGAGTGAAAGGGGTCAGTCATCCCGGAGGGATAGGAAAGCTGATAAAAGCACTCAAAGACGTAGCTGATTGAATGATCGCTCAACTAGCGATCGGGGATCTCCTAGATCGACACAACTAAGGGTCTCAATGACAAAACTTGTGAAAGTTATTTAGGACAAGAAATACTTCTTAAAGGATCAATCGATGAAAGTTGGAGCCTTCCCTTAGAACATAAAAAAATTCTGCAAGTACAATAAAGACCATAGTTTTGATACAGAGGAGTGCAGGAACCTTTGGAGCTTGGTTGAGGAGTTAATTCGGGCTGGAAAGCTCAAAGAGTTTGTAGCCCCCGAATAACACACTCAACGGTAGGGGAATGCACCAGCAGAAGATGACTTGGATGGACTTGTCCAAGCTAATACTACTCACATTGCAGAGATAGTACCAACAATATTGGGAGGAGTTTCAGTTAGAGACCCGAGAAGGGGGAGTCGATCGGATGAATACTGTGATGTTGCTTCTGTCTCAAAGAGGGAGACTTATCACCTGATATTTTTTTACTGACACTGACTTACCCCTTGTAGGGAATCCTTGCAACGACGCCATTGCTATTATGATAATGATTAACAACTACCACGTTGGTAACTTTGAGAACATTCTACTTAAAGTCGCTTTTGATAAGATGAACCTGTCAAACGATCGTTTGGTTGTGCCTATTGGCCCTTTGTATGGTTTTCTGGAGTAAGAAAGGAGGCACTTGGAATAATCAGACTGTCTGTCATGTAGGGAGAGGGAGGCAGCCAATTCACTACCATGGAGGATTTTCTAATGGTCGATGCACCACCAACGTATAACACAATCTTCGATTGCTTGCTTGTCAACAATTTATGAGTTGTGGTATCTATGTACCACGTAGCGGTAAATTTTCCTTGCGACAGAGAAATTGTGATTGTGCGTGGGAACCAGGACTTGTCCCAGATATGTAGCCTCTGGGTAGTAGGGAACATAAAACAACGAACATTGGACACACAACATCAAAGGGAAGTGAAACTTGAAACTGATGAAGCCACCAACAAGATCCTTAGGGACCTCAACGAATCTGGTAAAGTTTCTTTAATTAATGAAAATTTTGATGCATTTCAAAAAGAATCATTGATCCTGACTCTCCAAGAGCACCACAACCTTTTTCCCGGTCGGCCATTGAGATGTCATGCATCCCCATTGATATGGCTTGTCACCGCCTCCACATCAGTGCATCTACATGGCCAGTATTGCAAAAGATTCAATCGTCAACCATGACTTTGGTTGGGCCAATTCGTGAGGAAGTACAAAAATTATGGAAGCGAGCTACATACCGGAGGTGCAATACCCCTTCTTGGTATCCAATGTAGTCATAATATAAAAGTCCAACGACAAGTGGAGGATATGCGTAGATTTTACAAATCCGAATGCGCCTTGCTCCAAGGATGGCTACCTACTCCCGAGAATTAATGTGTTAGTGGACTCTGCATTCATACACTCTGTCATGAGTTTCTTGGATGCTTTCTCTGTCTACCACTAAATCAAGATGCAT